GACTCTGTTGAGCTGCCTTTATTCTGTCATGGGGGGCAGAGTGTTTTCTGCGATAACAAATTTGGCCGTGCCATGATGGCCTTCTTGGACTGCATGCAGCAGTTCATAGAAGAGGCTGAGAAAGGAGAGGCAGGCCTCTGCCTGCCCTATAGGATGCATGTGGACAGAGGTCTGGTGGAAGATGCCAGAGGGACTGGGGAGTCCTACTCCATTAGAACCCATTTGAACACAGAGGAGGGGTACACAAAGGCACTAAAACTCATGCTTGTAAATTTGAAGTGGAGTCTGGCATGGGCCTCCTTAAAGTACTGCCAAAAATGAAGCTCTTCTGGGGCCGGCAAATGGCATGGTGGTTGGGGGCAGTGGATTCCCACATGGCTAACCACAGTTCGAGTCCTGGACCTGGTGGCTTGCTTTCTCACTTTCCTTCTCTCTCACTCTGTCCCTCTCTGGTCAAATTTAAATAAATACATAAATCATTTTTAAAAAGAAAAAACTCATGCCGGGCACGTGTGCGTGCATGCCCAAGATCCTGAGAGGAGAATGGAGGAGAAGGGATTGCGGCGTGACCATCCTCCCTGGGAGGTGATTTCTCACTTTCTGTCTCTATGTCTCTCTCTGTCTGGCGAGCGCACGTGCCCTATAGCGAAAACCTCTCAAAAACAAACAAACAAAAAACCAAACAAACAAAAACCATTTGCTCTCCAGACCAGTTCCCCCTTCCTCAAATGACTTCACCATCCTAACGGGCAGACTCCTCCAACCCCCATTCACACCGCTATAATCACAGGTCCAACTCTGTCTCCACCTACAAAATAAACACAAACAGCCTTAATGTGATATGCAGAAGTTAAATGTTCCCCAAACATCTGCAGAGGGACCCCAGTCACAGGAAACTAAGAGTGGTCACCATCATTACTAAAGGGGGTGTACTGTACGTCAGAAACCCTGTTACCCACTTCACCTCAATGAAGCCTACACCTGAGGCAGGTGTCCTCACCCCACAGTAGACACAAGGGAGGACTGAGATAATACAGGACTCTCTTTAGCGTGGGATTCGAACCCCGGAGAGACCAGGTCTTTCCATCTTTCTTTCCCTGCCTCTACTCTTGCCGGACTTCCTGTCTCCTACTCTAATATCCCCGACTTACAAGAAAGAGCACTTGGTAAATTCTTTTATTAGATGATTAAATGGTGGCAGTAGCAATGCAACTGGACCCACATGGGAAAGGTCCTGGGTTTGCATCCCAGGCCTCCCTGAGCACAGGAGGATATCCATGCCTGTGGTGTGGGCAGCCTGAGCACCCAGTTGGAGTGCCTGTCCCTGTGTCTGTAGCATCACCTTCTCTTCCCTCGGATATGTGTGTACCTTCCCTATCAGACATTAAGGTCTTTTTTTTTTTTTTTTTTGGAGAGATTTTCACTGTAGGGCGCGTGCGTGCGCTCGCCAGACAGACAGACAGAGACATAGAGACAGAAAGCGAGAAACCACCCCCCAGGGGGGATGGTCACGCCGCAATCCCTTCTCCTCCATTCTCCTCTCGGGATCTTGGGCACGCACTCACACGCGCCCGGCGTGAGTTTTAAGCCACCGGGTCCGGGACACGAACCGCGGTCGACTACGTGGGAGTCCAGCGACATAGCCATTACGCTAACTGCTGGTTCCCAAGGTCTTTTTAAGTTGCTAGACAGAGCGTGCACTTGTCAGAGACAGAGAGGGTTAGAACGCATTCCCTAACAGGGCAAGGCCACACTGCAATCCCCTTGCCTCCATTTCTCCACCCTATCAGGATTCTGGACGTGCACACACGTGGTCAGCATGTTTTTCAACCCGCTGGAACCAGCATTCAAACTGCATGCCCAATCATCTGGGATGTGGCTTATCTTAACCACCAGGCTACGACTGGTACCAAACTTTCCATACGAGGTCTTTAAGGATTTAACTGTGTACTTAAGTCATATGTGACTTGGTCTAAAAATGACCTTATAGCAAACTGAAAGCCATAAAATAGTAAAGATTCTTTTTTCTAAATTTTTAAGAAATTTTTATTTTCATTTTGTTTTGCTATAAAGCCAGGTTGCTCACTGGAGAGACACGGAGACTTACAAAGAGAGAAATCAACCCCCCACCCCCAGGAGATGGCCACGCCACAGTCACTTCTCCATTATCCTAGGAATTTGGGGCGCACACACACACACACACACACACACACACACAGGTGCCTGGTGTGAGTTTTTTAAGCTGCTGGGTCCAGGACTCAAAGTGCAGTCAACTATGTGGGAGTCCAGCGATGTAACCATTACGCCATCTGCTGGTCAACTACAGTAAAGATTTAATTGAGAACTAAATTGGATTGAATACTAGGCACAACTAAACAAACCCTCTATTTGAACGTAGGAAAAAATAAAATCAGCCTGGGACTACAGTGATGCAACAGTGGAACCCCATAAGGCTGGCCCACGTGGAACCCGATGTGCACTCAGACACCTCCCTGAGTATGCAGGGTGCATGTGTGCCATGATCCAACCTGACTGTGGCTGAGCGGGACACAAGGCCCTGTTGAAGTGTTGTATCTCTCTCTCCCCCCCAGTTTATTTATGGAAAAAAACACACTATTTATTTATAGAATAGAGCTAATTATGGAATAAACAAACTAGAAGCTCAAAAGTAGAAAGGGGAAGGAAATCAACATTACTGGCACCAGTGCCTGTATTTCAGGAACTGTGCTGGGAACTCTATAAATCCATTCCATTTTATCTTCACAATGGTTTCTTCCAGTTTACAGCTAAGGAGCGGAGGTGTAAAAGGGCTTCCTGATGAATCAGCTATGTGGCTTTGGACCAGTTAGGACTGGAGACCGACTTCAACCAAGATGTTCTGACTTGAAGGCCACACTAAACTACCTGTGTCTAACTTCAGAGCCCATTTTTTCCCACAATACCATGATGTCTTCCAAACTGAATGAAATAATTGGGCAAAAATCGTTGATCTGTTCTTCCAATTTCTTTTCATTTGAAGAAAATACAAAGAAAACACATTTAATTATGCATCTAAAGTATTTACATTTAAATACTCTTTCACAGCAAATTAAAATTCTGCTAAGGGTTAAGCCAAAAGAACTGCCCAATCTTTATTTTCGACTCTAAATAATCCACATGATTAGCTCTTCAGAAACAGTAGTATCCTTCTCACGCGTTTCTGACATACCAGGAGAAAGGCAAGCTAACAATTAGGTCAGCCAGCAAAGTTACGACCGTGTGTGCAATCATTTAAGTCACTGGAAATGAAAACACTAATTACTTACATTTCTTCTCGTTAAAACTTCAATTAATAACTCTCGTCTCTTATCAATATGCTGAGATCCCAAGTTGAGGGACTGGCCACAAAACGCAGGGGCACATACAAACCACATCAACACCAGGACCTCTCGGCTCTCGAGGGAGAGGCCCTAATGACTGAGATACCTGTGAGCACACCAAAGGCTACCTTTTCTCAATGGCTGTTATAGGCAACATCACTTTCCCGGACTCCATACATATTTATAAATACCACACCAAAATCAAGACAAAGAGGGACCAGCAGAAGGAGTAATGGTTACATGGCTGGACTACCATGTAGTCAACTACAGTTCAAGTCCCGGACCCGGCACCTTAAAACTCATGCCCGCTCGTTTGCATGTCAGAAATCCTGAGAGGAGAATGGAGGAGAAAGGATTGTGGCGTCTCAATCCCCTTACCCCCACCCCGGGGGTGGGGGGGTGGGGGGTGGTTTCACTCTGTCTCTCAGGAGAGCACTCATGCCCTATAGCAGTATTTTCTCAAAAACAAAAAAGTGCCATGAGCCAACTATGAAAAATACAACAATATTTCTCAAAGCCTTCAATATAATCACATGAATTGGGACAAAGGCGAGGACACAGAACTGGTTCCCAAACTAATTTAGCCAAGGAACCCTTATTCCAGTAGCATCTCTGAGCACCAGTACCACAAAGGCCCTGCTAAGTAACATTGTTTAAAATGTGCCAAAATTAAGTTTCTGCTATCTTTTATTGTCATTTTGTTCTGAATTGTCAACAAAAGACACTGTCAGAGGTAGTACTAGCTGAAACTCTGTAAGCAGAAATAGTTCTTCTTAAAAAATCTTAGGCACACAGAGATAACTGAAGACGTATATCGGCCCTTTTGCCTGATCCATTTCGTAACAATCTTAACAATCATTTCGTTACCCAAGACTAAAAATAAAGAAATCCTGTATCTCATAAGAAAACGGGTATTACCCATCACTTTGACACACGCTGTATGACCTTAATATATAATTATCAAATGTGATCATGAACGTTCTGTGCATTAGCAACTACAATTTTTTTTGTTTGCTAGGTAAAGCTAAACGGGGGTGTGGGAGCGGTCGGAGGAAGTCCCCTCATTTCACTGGACCTTTCCGTTATTCCACACCTCTAGAAGAGCGCTCCCAAACTCGGTATGCCCAGGTATAAGCCCCCAAGTCCAGGTTGAATGTTCACCGCCAAACAAAAGCTATGTAGAAAGCAATTACTGCACACTCTCGCCATCAATCCTTTCAGACTGCATATGGTTCCTTCCAGAAAATTCGAACAGAAAAAAGTTGTACAGGTATTCGCATTTTGGTATGTATGTCGTCTTTGGCACACGTCACGTCACACAGTGAAAGCCTTTCAAACGCCGAAACGTACCTCGTATTATCCCTGCTTTTTGATGTACACGCTACAACAGCCAAACAATCTGTATTTACCAAGAGCAAAAGCACTTGAGCATGTACAGAAAAACCCTGGACAAAACCCAGAATCCGATACACAAATTATTAAGAGCAAATAAATAGCACGATTGCGTCAACAAACTTCGAAATGCGTAAAGACGACATCGATTACTGCACCTCTGTAAAACCGAGAACGCACAATCAGTGCACGACGCTGCCGCGAAGGCAGGAGCCCCGGCGCTGCGCAGTCCCGCACCGCTCGACTCACCCCCGCATTCCGCGCCGAGTACATCCAAGGTCACTCCGGATGGGAGCAGAGCGTGCGCTCCCCGGGCACCACACCCCCGGCGCCCGCGCCCACCGGCGCCCACCGGGCAGGGGGCTGCGCGGGCGCCGGGGC